ACTCCGGCTGGACGCGGGGGGGGGGGGGGGTTAGTGTCCTTGATGGCCTGGCTGGGCAGGCACAGCCTGAGAGAGTGACCCTGTCACCAGACCATTCATTTCAACAGCCACCATTCCATAGGCTTATATGTACCACTTATTTTATGCATGTTATTTACCTGTAAAAGCCTCCCTTGTGTAGACATCCAAAAACCCCCGAGACCCCTGATGGGCACCACTATCTTGGAAGTGATGTCAACAGCCCCCAGCAGACTCAAGTGGCACTCTATAGGGATACCGTACCTACATAAAAGGTTATGCAGAGAGAAGCTGGGCCAACACATGCAGTAGCTAGACACTCCCAGAAGAAAAGAGGGCTGTGCCAAGGAACTTCCAAAGAAGTCAAATTTGCTAAGCAATTCAGAGGCACAATGCAAACAAATAAACATTGATGCAAAGGAAATGCCCTGCAAGCAAGCATTTAAAATACTTGATCTTTCTGTGCTTTTACCTGCAATGTTTCAATTTGGTGACAGGGTCATTTTAGGTAGCAGCCATCCAAATGCAGAGAGGGTTGGAAGCACACAGCTCTGATGAGCCATGCTATTTTACAGTCAGGACTAGATGTACTAAGCAAGCCCTTCCAAATACATGTGTATTCATTGCGTGTACTCTGTGACCCTCCAATGAGTGCTAGAAGAACTAGAACATAAACGTTTCTTTCTACAATCATAAAATGCTCTGGTTCCTAATATAAATCCTTCACATTCATTTTTTGATGTCCAGGACCCAAAATACTGGGCTGCGGACTCCTTCCAGCAGATTCTGCCCTCTGTACACGGGTGCTGGAAGCTGCGAGGTTTGTGCTACATATTTACTGTCTGGTACTTTAGGAGAGCCACATGTTCCCTACTCCCTTTATAGTGTCATCTCTGTACACTGGTATGGCACATCCTACAAATGAAAACAAAACAGATGATAGAAATTGATGTACACAGACAAAAAATGAATGGTTTTATTATTAAATTAAAGCTGTGCATACTGAAAATACAAAAAAGTTATTCCCAGTTGCTTCGTTTGGTATAATACCACTAACATTTGACCGTGGAATATTTATTAGCAAGGAATTTTCACAGATGGACTTATTGCACAGGTGGCAACTTATCACGGTACCACCTTGAATTCACTGAGCTCCTTAAGGTGCCTATACACGATCATACAATAATCGGCAGGTGTATGGAAGGCGTGCAACCGTTTCTACTGTTTGGTCGCATGTCTTGAAAACGGTAAGATTTTTGCGGGTTAGTGGCATGCTCAGAAGACAAATGCCGAACGGGCCGGTGTGCGCAAGCGCACACTGCCCGCTCAGCATTGGAGTCATCGGAAGCCCTCCTCTTAGCGGGGAGGGCTTGCGATGATCGCAAGTGCGATCTGCCTGTCCAAGATGGGCAGATCGTACAAGGTTTTAATTACCTTGCAACCATCGCACAACGAAAGTCGTGCAATGGTTGTAAGGTGTATGGCAAGCTTGAGAGCGACCCATTCTTTCACAAAATGTTTGTAGAAGCAGTATGCATGCCTAGGTGCTTGATTTTATACACCTGTGGCCATGAAGGTGATTGGAACACCTGAATCAAATGATTTGAAGGGGTGTCCCAATACTTTTGGCAATATAGTATATATATATTGCACTCAGTCGACAAAAACGAATATGGTATCGTTTGGTGTGGAGTAACCGACTGCTGTTCCTTAGGAGTAGGCTCATTCATGAAGGATTTCCGAGACTCCTATTTAGAGAGTCCATATAGAAGACACCAGCACTCGATAATATGTGCAGGAAGTAAAGCACTTTTTATTAAATTGTCACATGCGTCATGCGGCCAACGTTTTGGGGCCACGCAGGGCCCCTTCTTCTGGGCGACATTGTCACTATTTCGTATTATCCTTGTCAGAGAGGGCTCCCGCAGCAGAAGGTTCGAGGCAGCAACAGCTGTAGGAATGTCAAGTAAAGAATCTGGTGGGTAATGTGTAAAGGTGCGAAAACAACCACTACGTTAAAAGCTAGCAATCATAGTGGCAAAATTTGTGGTAAAATATTTGGTAAAACAAAGTCCTGCAATGGTGCATAACTATTCTCTGTATAAGACAGAGGGTTCTACACCTAACAGAGCAAATGCAGAGTCTGAGGACGTTGCCTAAGCTGTCAGGGCAGGACCTTAAGGGTGGACACTGCAGATAGCTGTTAAAGCAGATGGGCTGCTCCTCTAACACTTGCAGTCCACTATACAGTTCTGTTAAGGCAGTAACAGAACATAGAACTGCAGGATAAGAACCATGTAACTGACTGCTACTAGCAGAAGGGGTTAAACAGCAAATACACAGGCACTGAGAGCAGCAGGAATGAGTATGGAGAAGATCTGAGGCCCTCATGCAGCAGAAGCAAAGGTGGGAGCATTAACTCCCAATGAACCGAGGGGTGAGTTAGAAGTGAGGGAAATATGTGCGCAACAAGTGATGCAGCACAATATGCCAGTACAGTAGGCTCTATGGGGAACTGGCGCAATAGAGCATTTTCCCAAATGTAAACGGTAAAGTAAAAAGTGATAAAGAAAAGGGCAAAGAGACTGGACACACTACTCTCCACTGGAATCTCTCAGAACAGAGAGATTTTAGGGAAACTGCACAGTGAAGTGAAGGTGTCCACTATACTGCACCTGTGTTGTAATCTGCCAATGCATGTAAAGTGCCATAACAGAGAAATACATGTAGGTATATACCAAGATGTTTTCCCTCTTGCACAGACACACACATCAAGACACAGCAATTACAGGGCTTTTGACCTGGAAAGTGCTCTGTGGCTAACTAACTTGGGACATGAGGTACCACCCCACACAGGCAGAGACCAGTGCCGTAAGGTCACATTCTAGGCCGGCTCCACATATTCCAGTGGGTTCCAGGTAAAGTCTACAAGGCTATGTTGAAGATGAACCAATACGGATAGCTACTGTAATAGAGACTAGCTCAAGTGGCATATTAAACAACATTTCTGGCAGATGCTCTGTGGGCTCTTTCCAATTACCATGATTTTCTGTCCAAAGGACCAGTTCACCATCCTGCTTCACACGCAATGGCTTTAACAACATTCCTGTTATTGCCTAGAGCCCAGAACATCTTAATTGAAGAAAACTAATTCTGCAGACAACCACAAATGTTGACGGGGAAAAAAAAGAATTAAAAAAAATATATTATAAAATAAAGAAACCCGGGTCAGTATGGCCTTCATAAAAGGCACGCAGGAAGTGTGCACAGCGAATCCATGTAATAGCGCTATCTGTACAATCACGGATGAGATGCAGGCATGCAAGTAGTTTAAAACCGCACTGTCGCTTTCTGCAGAATGATGAAATCCCGTAAGAAATCAAATATTAAAATAATGGGGTATACCCTCTAGTACACAGTATTAAACAGATTTATTAAAAAAAATATGAAACAAAAAGACAGACAGACAGACGTTGAGAAATAAGACATGAATAAATGGAGGAGGATTCTGGACAAAGTGCCTCGCGGTCCCTACTGATAGGTTTGTGCTGTCTGGGATTGACGCTTGTCTAGAAGTCAATGTAGTGGTCAGCCCAAAACAGGATTCCATTCAAGTGACAGAGGAGGACATTTCCACTGACAGTATAAAAGTGTACTTAATGTTTCAAGTAATTGGGTTCATACAGCCACAGTTTGAGAATAAGGTTATTTTACAGTAGAAACTTCTTAAGGTGATCCTTCATTAAAACCTTTCTTTAGAGGGCTCGGGGCCTCTTGGGGTTGATTTGTTTGCTGGCGTGCTCCTCCTCTTGTAAAGCAGTTCGGAATGACTTCACTTTATCTTCAAAGGAGAGAAACAGACAGTATTAGCAAGCGGCACGCCGACTTGAATGTGTATGTAAACCCCAACAATGATCTTATTTGCTTCTTTTTGGTCCGTTAAATATACCAATAAAAACGTTTTGTTATATCTGTTCAATAAGCGCAAAATATACCTGTTGGTTACGTCAGAAATTCAAAGCTGTCCTATGTCCCATGCACACTTCCTGTGTTACCTCAAAGTCTATTTAGTTTTCTTGGTACTACAAAATGATTAGTCTGTATGTTGAAGAGCACTGGTGGGTCATGGCCCAGTTTTCAGGGGGTCGCGACCTCGTGTTCAGTGGGTCGCCGCATGCCTTCCACTTTTCTAGGTGAGAGGCTCCTCAGCCTCCCCCTAGCGCAGCAGCACTGTCAGTACTCGCACCAAGCAGCCATTCAAAATATGCTGCCCAGTGCTGAGTGTCAGCTTGAGGTTGGATGGGGCTATGGCTATGAGGGAGCTCCATCTATATGTGCATTGCCTACAGCTCCTTCAAAATGTCCTATAGAGGTGCCAGGACCTGAGTGAACTCACATTCTGGCTTCCGGCACCTCTACAGGGCGTGCAAGGGAGCAAAACAAGCACTACACATATGGATGGAGCTCCTTCACAGTTCAGCAGCCCACACTGGACCCCAGGCTGAGGATCCACTCCGGTTCTCGTAAAGTAGAGAGACTGGGTGGATTTTAAAAATAATTAAATATTTTTTGGAGTGTGTATATGTGTGTGAGATTGTGTCTGTGGTTGTGTATGGATGTCAGTGTTTTTGAGGGCCTGTTCACACTATTACAGTCCGTTAAAGGCACTGTACGATACAATTGCACCAACCGTGCATTCTGGTGTGTGAAGTGTGTTGGGTTGCCATTCATTTGAATGGTACCCCAAACGCACCTTCCACCCACAGTTCGTACGCCCGCACTGCAAACGCGCGTCACCCTAATTCTGCGTGTTCCAGTGCGGTGCAACTTTGGTCGCGACTTAATGGCCAAGGACAAATATGGGTTCTGAGGTTACACAGGTTGAGAACTACTGTTGTAGAGAATAGTATGGAGGGAGGTTTGAATAGTTTAGCAAGAGACAATGGGCATGTGCGTTGTCAGCTGAGTGCATTCCTGGCAAATCAGCAATTAACTTTTTGTACTTGCAGGGTAATTAAAGTGATTACACATGGGAAAATGTGCATGTACTGTAGATTTATACAATATGTGTTTTTTTTACGTGTATTTATCTTTTAAAATGTACTGATATACACTTTAAAAGATAAATGCACTTTAAAACAAAGGGCACTTATCAATTTTAATCCCCCACCCATGACCCCATGATATCCCCCCCCTCTTCCCCTTCTGCAGATCCTCACTTACCGAGATCCAACATGCACAGTCCTGCTATTGTTTACATCCAGCACCACAATGCTCCCTCTACTGGCTGCAGCTGCACATTACAGCCCCACAGACGCAGCCAGGAGGGAAAGACTTGCAAGGATGTCAACAGCGTAGCAGTGGCTTTCAGTAAGTATAGATCTGTAGAGGGGAAGGGTGGGATCCTTTAGGTCAGCGAAAGATAAGTGCACTCTGTCTAAAAGTGTACTTGTTTTTTAAGTGTTAACATCAGCATGAGCTTTCCACTGACTGGAGGCACTTGTCAGAAAACTCTATGAAGAAGTGCATCTCCACATTCACCAGGATCCCACTATTCTTCATGTCATCCTGGTAAACTCTCCATAAGATATTTTATAGGTACCCAGGGTCAGGGCCGAGCATTTTGACAAGTACTTGTCAAAATGCCCTGTTTTTTCCGCCCTCACCCTGCAGCGCCCTCAGGCGGCTGCCTGACTTGCCTTGCGGTAGTGCCGGGCCTGCCCAGTGTCTGATTATAAAAAATTAGATTGAAAAACAAGGGGCATCTAACAAGTATAATCAGCACGCCTACTGCTGAGTTCTTAACGCATGCATTTTGCTTCCAGTAAGCCAACATTACACATGACGGGTCATTCAAAACCACAACCCCCAACAAGCGCAGAGATGGAAATGACCATTCATTACTGAGATGCACACTTTTCCTATGCGTTTGGTTTCCCAAACTGAGGCAAGCCCTAATAGAATGGGTCCCTAAAGAAAAGCTGTCATGAGACAAACAGGCTGCCAGTGCGGAGGTCTCCTAAAAATGCTAGATGCCTGGCTGTTGTGCTATCAAGCTGCAATGTTTGATTCACTGACCTGAAAAAACAGACTTCTGACTACCCTGATCTGTCCACTTGTTTCAGATGGGTGAAGTAAAAGTGTTGAACCCAAAGGGTCAGCAATGGCAGCCCTTATATTTCCCTAAAGACAGGTTTGCTTTATTCTCCAAGAATCATTTAATTAATTCTACTATGTTGCTTAGTCTGTGAGCAGAAGGAATAGCGGCTCCTGCTCCACCACCCGGTTTCGGAGCATTGATATAGGTTGCTGGTCTCCACTGCAGGTTTGCATTTCTACCACAGGAGTGGCTCAAGGAAAGTCTTTTTTTGTAAAATGAAGAATTTCACATTTATCCATTTCCAATGTATATTTAGCTGTCTGGCTGAAGTGTCATTTAATTATATACAGGCAGTCCCCGGGTTCTGAACAAGATAGGGACTGTAGGAAGGGTTTACCCCCTGTAACGTTTGTTTTGCTGTGTGTGCCCCTGTTCAGAAGATTTCACCTCACTTTTTGTCCCTGTGACAATTGGATTTTGAGCATTTTGGGTTGTCGTGGAAACAAGGATTGGTGATAAAGCTTCAGTGGAGACACCTTTTTCCCATGATCACTCTTACAGGAGTGAATTTCCCTTCCTCGGGGTAGATTTCCTTTCACTTCCTGTTGTCTCAAGCACAGGAAGTGAGATTAAATCTTTCGAATGAAGATACAGACAGCAGTAAAAACCTCACAATGACCCGGAAGAAGAGGCGGGCATCCCTTGCCCACATGCCTAAGAGCCAACTTCCTGTAATGTAGGTACAGTACTACGAACCAGACCCAAAAAGGCAAACACTCCTCGTCAGCACGAGTGCAGTATCATTACAACTACCCCTGCTGTACAGTAATAGCCTCCGTTTGTAAGTAGGAGTCGGATGTATGTAACTCGGGGACTGCCTGTAATGCATCACAAAAACTATATTTGCAGGTGTCTTCGCAGTGTACACACCTCTTAATTCAATCAGAATGTCAATCTTCTGCTCAAGGATTGCTTCCAGCTGTGTAGCGTATGAATCCACATCATAGTCCACCTCCTCCGCCATCTCTAGCAGAGCCTTCTCATCTTCCAGCCACCGGATAGATTCCTGTGGAGACAACAACAACTTCTAAATCTAAATGGATTTTTCTAAGAGGCTCCGGATTGGCGGACCATGGGAAGAAAATCTTCTAGATATCAGCAAACGCATTGCTTTCCAGAGTTAGCTTCCAATATGGCAGTTTAATCAGGCTATATAAAGGCTGCCTGGCACTGGGCACCCTGACCTGTATTTGAGGGCAGTGTTCACGCTGCTGATCATACATTGCAAAGATGGGCTATGATGGATATTCTAGAAGGATAGTCAGTATCATTATGCTGCTGAGTCTAAAGGGCTTGTAAACGTGCACTGCAGTAGCAATCAAGAACAATTCCTTTGGATCAGTCCACCTGAGACCTAGATTTTACTTCTAGGTGGAGTCTCTCACCAGGAACTACTCCTCTCTAATGGATTCTCCATTACACCTACTAAAAATTCTGCAGGGAGATTGGGAACCCCCTCATAACAAATACAACAGGTGACTCGGGAACCTATATCTCACTCCCAGAGACCACAAGATGTATAAGAAATTGTAAGGTAGGTCAACTCTCCAAAAACCACCAGACAATTAAATATGACATATTACAAACATCTATTTGGCTTGAACATAAGCGAGGATACTGGCATAAATAGCACCACTGCATTGCTTCAAGTGATAAAAAGAGGGGGTATTCCAATGAAGAAAGGTCCCATATAGCATGTTCTGCACATATACTGTATATCATATCACTTCATACCTGAAACACAGCTCGGTGATCTTCTACTACCTGTTCCTCCATCTCCACCATCTGTGACACGGCTTCATGAAATGTGAAGAGCTGCGGAGACACCTCTTCTTCCTGAAGATGTGAAAAGAACAGCACATTACAATGACATGGAGCTGCCACATCATACTGAGCCTTGTACTGTATATGTGCATGCTACTAAAGAATGAAGCAGTACTTAAGTTTAAAAAAGAAAAGCACGTGTATTGAGGAATTCAGCACAACATAAATTATTGCTCCAGAAGAAACCCTTTTATATGTTATTATAGAAGCAGCCTCCAGGTCCCTCTGTGCAACTTCACAAATCTGGTCAGGGAGTGCGCATTCATAGCCCCATTCACAGTAACCTGATCCCCCCTCTTCGGGACTACATGTCCCATAATCCATAGCATCATTACGCATGCATGCCCCTTTTGCAAGTTGCTTTGAATTACTTGACAGAGGTGAGTTAGTGTATCTGTTGCTCTCAGGCTGCCTGTGCCTGTTAGTGCGGAGACTTGCATCAGCCTGTATTGTCTCACAGAAGCACGTACAAATGCGTGGCCACGGTGGGGCTCCATAGAACCCTGCAAGCCAAGGAACCTCCCTACAAAACGGAAAGTGGGGCCAGCAACCAGGGAACTAAAACTACAGACCACTGACAAACTACAGGGGAGAAAAGCTTTAAAACATACAGGAACACCATAGAATTCAAGTCTGGATGTCAGAAGAGGGGGCAAGGGGGTGTAATGTCACTTTAACTATCAAGTGTATAATTCATAGCAAGATTGGTTCAGCTTTAGGTAATTGGCACAGAATGCTCATAGTTAGTGCAGACACAGGCACCAAGCTCAAAGCCCTTTGTGAAGTTTCATGCGTACTTCATTCTGTGTGTGTGTGTGGATGGGGATCTATTTTTTTGTTATTAGAGTGCAGGCACACTCTTTTTTAACATTGGAAAATCTTTTCATTCTAATCCACAAGCAGATCCTTCTATGTAGTAACACCCTAAAATTCCTGGCCAAGTCTAAAAGATCCAGATGTCTGGTGTCCATATTTCTGCATTCCGCAAGAACAAAAGCTTCATACACTGACAAGAGAACATCCCACCTACCTTTGGGACCTTTTCCTATTCAAACATTAACCCTCCCCATCTCTCTCCAGCCTAAGCTGAGACAAGAGACCTCTCTGGGATGAAAGTGAATAATTCAGTGTGTGCTCACTTTGTCTTCACTATTGTAGTTAAGTGTTTTAGGGAGTACCAAAAAGCAGAAGGGAGCGGAATACCACGGATAAGAGAGAGAGCACCAGATATTCCCCTGGGCTTCACATCACTTCTATAAAGAGGAAGTTAAATTAAAGAAATTACTGGGAGCTCAGGATTGGTGGCAGATGAGACGAGCAAAGTCTCTTCTGCCAAAAAAATTCTTCCTCTGTTCAAGAGCGATTTTTTATTTTCTGTGTACACTGTACAGTGCATTCCCCTTCCGGTGTACACACTTGGCCCATTCACAGCACCTCTAATGGGCCTGATGCTGGGGACGATGTAACTCCTGTGCACGTGCGCAGGAGTTACATCATCAGTGGCCACCCAATCAGGACAGCTGAGCTGGGAACCAAAGATTGATCCAACAGCACTGGAGAAGGGCACACCTGTACGTGCTATACATATTAGCACATTAGATAGCATACTTCACATAGCTCACACTGGTTTACTACTGCTTTAAAATTAGACAAATCTAGGTGACATATTACAAAATAATAAAAAATGATTATATATCTATCTGCAGAATGGCGTACACTGTGCACAGCGTTTAGCAATGACATGAAGCACAACATCTGCTATATAAAGGAATCCACCCACATTTTGTTCACATAGAAGTTTGAGGTCATCCCTCTGAGGAGAGCTGCCCACTCCCCACAGCGATTCCAGGTCATCCAGCTGATTCTGAGCATGATGTAACATGGGGCGCAGATCCCCAACACCATTTGGATCAACAGTCAGCTCTTTGACTCTGAAACAGCAAAAGTTTTATCAGAACTTTCATAAGAAAGGTTGAGAGAAATAAAAATATGATGCAATCAAATATTCTGAATGTAAAATGCCCCCTTGCATAGATCTCCTCGTAAAACGATCTCTAATGTTCCAAGCCCAAACTTAGGTCTAGCGGAAACCTCATTTCATAAAGTAGTCTATGTACTTTATCTGAAGCGAGTCACTGTGCTGGCAATATTCTATCTAACGCGCCCATTGTAATCAATCACACCACTGATCTTGTAGCAATAAATTAGGCTCCTGCCTCGTCCAAGAGGCAGCAGTCCCAGCAAGAAGCACTTGCAAAGCTTTGCACAACCTGCCGGTAAGGGATCATATAAATATAGAGCGGTCAACTGATGGAACTTTGTGACTGTCCCTGGCTCATTTTGCTTGTTGCTTTAGTGCCTGTTCACAACTAGGCATTTTGTCACTTAAAGATCCCCATTCATTTCTATGGCTCCTGTTCACACCTGAGCATTCTGTCGCACAAAGATAAAGGTGCCCATACACTGCTCGATTCTCGTACGAGAATCGCGGGAAATCCCACGATCGTACCAGAATCGAGCAGTGTGAACGGAGACCTGCAACCGTTTCTACTGTACGGTCGCACGTCTTTTGTCTAAGGAGCACGCTAGAAAACCAGCCGAAAATCGTACGATTTTTGGCTGGTTTGAACGGTGCTCGGGAGATAAAATGCCAAACGGGCCGGTGTGCACACGCACACACTGCCCGTTCAGCATTGCAGTCATCGGAAAGCCCGCCCCTCAGGGGGGCGGGCTTGCGATGATCGAGAGTACGATCTGCCTGTCCAAGATGGGCAGATCGTATGTTTTTTTTAATTACTGTACAACCATCGCAAGACTAAGGTCTTGCGATGGTTGTAGAGTGTATGGCCACCTATAGAGTGACAAAATGCTCAAGACAAGGCATCCCATTCATTTCTATAGCTCCCGTTTACACCTGAGCGTTCTGTCGTGCAAACTTTACCATTTAAGTCTATGGGACCAAAAAGCTATGTAATCTGCCAAAAAGTAACTCATGTACTTTTTTCCAGCGACAGGCGTTTTTCTGCTTGCCACATGCTCAGGTGGGAACAGGGGTGGAAAATGGGAATGGGATGCATCTTGAGCATTTTTGTCACTCTTACCTTTGAGTGACAAAATGCGTAGATGTCAACGGAGCCCAAAGGTGTGTTTTAAACAAGGAGATCTCTACAAGATAAGAGCTGAAAATAATCTCAACTGAAAATAAAGTCATACTACCAAATTATAATGGAAAACCAAATAAACATGCAAAACATACTGTAAATGAATAGAATGAATTAGAAAGAAACAAAAAGAAGAGTAAATGGCTAAGGCCACAGTAATACACATGGGTGATGACAATATCTGAAGTGTAGAAGGCAGGTTAGACCTGGTGAGCGTAGGAGAGAAGTCGTCATACTCATAGGAAGGAGAGAGATCAGAGCGACTTCCGCTACCCTGAGAGAAGGGAATATCCGACGGACTAATCCCAAATTCCTTTACTCTGCGGGCCCGGGACACAGCAGAAAGATGGAGGAAAGGTTGAGAAGAAGGACACAATACATCACTGGCCATCCACACAGTTAAGCAGAAAGAGCAGAACATGTCATTACTAGAGATGAGATCATTTGTGACCGGCTGCTTGTCTGGAGAATCACAACTCACCAACTCTGCTAAATATTATTTGCCGACTGGTAGAAAATCAACCAACTCATGAATGCCAATTCTCAGATTCATGAGAACCAAAACTCACCAGAGATCAGGCAGAGGATGAATTTAACAAATCAGGAGAATCAAAGAGCTGCAATTCACCAGCAAATCAAACCATCTGATTAGCTCACCTGTAGTTCAAAGCAGCAATGTGCAGAGAAGTATGATATGAACAGAGTACCATAAACTCCATAATAAACAGACCTCTCAAATCAATAAATGAATAGGAAAAAATGTAACATTTACTTGTAGGCTTGCTCTGGTCACAAGCATTATTTTACATTCTGCAATAAGATTGTGTTTCATATAGTAACAAACTTGCCTAGCGTCCTATTACTTCTAACTAGTGCAAAACAAGCTTTAATTACTACACATGATTTGGGCAGGCCATGCAAACATCTTCGTCAATAAATTACTGATGGACTGATGTATATTCTCTCGTACACACATAATATACCTCCCATAAAAAATTAAAAAAAAAGAATATGCAAAGACACACGTATAAAAGAGAGGGGAGAAAGAGAGAGGGGAGAAAGAGAGAGAGAGAGAGGAGAAAGAGAGAGGGGAGAAAGAGAGAGAGGAGAAAGAGAGGGGAAGAGAGAAAGAGAGAGGTGAAGAGAGAAAGAGGGGAAGAGAGAAAGAGAAAGGGGGAGGAGAGAGAAAGAGAGAGGGGAAGAGAGAAAGAGAGAGGGGAAGAGAGAAAGAGAAAGGGGGGTGAAGAGAGAAAGAGGGGAAGAGAGAAAGAGAAAGGGGGAGGAGAGAGAAAGAGAGAGAGTGAAGAGAGAGAGGGAAGAGAGAAAATGATACACACACCATGTTATAGGTTACCCCCGACCTGCCCTGATGACCGAGGTTAGTCACAAATAAGTAGAAAGGGAGAAAAAGGTCCTATGGTGCACACAGCAGGGAAATAACACTTTGGCGTGTATACTATGGCTAATAATAAAAAAATACCCAAATTGTTCTAGAATTGTTCCCACATACCACAAATCCAGAACCCAGCATGGAGCATTGCATACCTGTTGGCGTATCTTAAAGTGTTTAAAGTATTTTCACAGGATGCCATACCAGGAGAAATTGTAGCAATCTAAAATTAAAATTTACACTTTATTATTTTCCTTTATTAAAGAGAAACCAGAACATTTTTTTTAATGTTACAGTAAGTGTAAATTTCACAGGCATCTAAGGGCTCTTGCACACAGGCATATAAAAATACACCCATCTCTACCTAGAAGTTGGCAGAAAAATCCAGTGTAAGAAAGGCACATTTTGGTGTAATTACTTGTGGTTGTGCTTGTACAGCATTTAGGAGGCGTTTACACACACAATCTATTGAATAGAATATTCATAATAGAAATGCTTCAAAGTGGATTTTTCTCTGCCCATGTGCATAAAGCCTTAAGTAGATCACAGTACAGCATAGTACCACCAACTTCCTGTGTGTTGTAAAGTAGTCACTGATCCAAGCTCGCTCCTGTGATGGACTACAACCTCACATTTAGTTCACATTGAGATTGTAGTCCACCACGGTGGCGGGCTTGGAGCAGTGACTACTTTACAGTACACACAGGGACCATGGGGAACAGAAGTGTCAGCACCAATTCAGAGATGATTTGAGGATCTATAGCTGAGTGATACACAAATAAGATACATTTTTGCTAATAGTTAAGGTATTTGAATGTGTTTTTAAGGTTTAACTCCTGAGTTTAGTGTCACTTTTAAAGCAGAAGGTATCTGCATGTCTCATTTCCAACACAAACCCAAAAAATAAGTGTCCTGATTTTAGGACATTGGGTGGAGCCATGCAAATTATTTTTGCCTCTTGGCTAACTGTGCATGTGGAATTGCTGGTTTGCAGTACAAATGCAGCTTTCTCTACACTACCTACTACTATTGTATGAGTGATGAGTGATGATATGGGTACATAACCGCTATCCCTCTCATTCAGCTAGGGAAATTCATAGTGTAATGTAACAGTCTACTGACTATAACTACGGTAGTTGGGCACACCTTGGAATTCTGGAGGGGGTGTTTTAACACCGAGGTCCCCAAGTTATAAGCCAGCATATGATGCATGTTTCCAGCAAGTTGTAAGGTAGTGTAATGCAGCTGGATTGAGCGCATTGGCACTGTCGGGCACACACACACCAGCAGCCATGTAGTTGAGCGTGGCTCCTGGTGTGAACAAGCCCTTTAGAAGGGGAAATGCAGATATGTGCAAACAGCAAAGCAGATCAACTACTCTATTTACTACCCCAAGCATGCAAACCCGAATCTGCCTGATGCATGTTTAACTACCCTTCTAAATAAGCAGGAGGGTCATTTATAGAGCAAAAAAAGAGCCCAGACATAAGATGCAGAAATAATTTAAAATCAAATATTTAACCTAGCTGTAATAATCAAATCTCTCGATTCCTTTTGCCTTTCATCTCCTTAATGTAGCAGCATTATCTGTAGATACATCCAGGGATTGGTAGGGGTTCCTAGAGCATTGAGCAGAGGCAGACTCATCTGACAGCGCAGCATAGTTGTGGCACCAGCATCACTTGGCTAAGTCAGCTGTGCGGACCCGTGATCATCATTGTAAGGGGTATTCTTTCCACTGACCACCAGTGTAAAGTGACCTCTCACTCACTGGCCACCAGCGTAGAGGGGTCCTTCTCCCGCTGTCTGGATTACTTCCCTGGCTCTGGAAAATACACTTTAACGTAAAGGGTAGGGGTGTTAAAAAATATTTTACACCACCGTAGGTCAATTACACCATGTATGCCATTTTTTTTTTTTTTTAATGTGTTCCTATATCTAAAACTTACTGATCCTGCCAATGTACCTTAACCTGTAGGTATATAACGAAAAGGGTTGAGAAAGGCCGACAGAGCATACATGGGAAAAAAGGAAACCACCAAAACCACTACAAGTATCTGGACTAAAAGCAGTATATTGCTGAATAGGATCATCCCAATGAATTAAAGTAAAATAGGCAAATCTTACCATGCATGTGCGAGAGTTTTCACCGATAAACGAGTCCCGAAGAACTTGGGTCAGTTTGCTGGCTCTAAATGGGGTATGTGGCTTATTCCTCCCAAGAGCACGAATGCACTCCTGAAAACAGACAGCAAGCATACCAATAGATCATCACCCAAGAATGTACACACTTCACTATGGTTAAATCTCCTAAGTGGAACCCAACCTATTAGCAGCAGCAAGTGAGACCAGTGGACTTAAAGTCAATGTTGAACTTTGTATTAATTGTACAAGAGCCCACAGATATCATCACACAGTCTTTGGATGCCCAGAGGGTGGTGGAGAGCCTTGATCAAGCTGTGCTGCAGAAGCAGTGGTCGAGGACAAGGATGTGATGTCTTGCAGGGGTGTCCAGATCATTAGGCTGGCTCCACAAAATTAAAAATTGTCAGCTTTATTTAGTTGCTTGCCTGAAATGTAACCCAAGTACACATGGGTCACAGCCCTCCACTATTAGACACATGTTACAGAGAGGTAATGACTGTAGTGAATTTTAGTCATGTCATGTACAGGTCTAGATATCCCTCCTTTATAATGCCATGTTTATTTACTGGCAACATATGGGAACTCACCTGTGTGCATCACTAAAACCCTTGCTGCTTAAATGCAAGCCGGTGCAGTACATACTGCGATAAAGCAAGTTCATACATGCTGATGCACATAGCCACAACACAAAATACTCCGATTCTGAAGCACATAGGAACTGCAACATGTTACTTTGCATGCAAGTATGGAATGGACCATGACATCGGCCAAAGATAAGCATTTGCTTAGCATTCAGTATGTCAGTCCAACTAAACAATGATTTTCAGGTAAGTGGACTTTGATGAGCTACATCAGGTAGTTTGTATCTCTCATGAAAATCAGCCATTAGATTTACCCACCATAACTATTAAAGTAGATGTAAACCCAATCAATAAAATCTCACCGAAGCATTAACTAGTTACTGTCATTTTAAGTCATGTTTACTTGCAGCTTTCATTAAAATACCACCTTGTAATTCTGCCTGGAAGGTCCCATGTTCAAGCTCTTTCTGTTATAGGGTGACAACACTCTATCCCAGTTATGCTCCTGCATTGTCACACAGGATTCTTAAGGGGACTTCAAGTGGCCAATACACATTACGTAGGCATGGTCCACCATCGGAAACCCTGTCCTGAGAAATGTCAAGCAGCCATTGCTGGAGTGCATGTAGACAGGAAATGGCTGCAAAGTGGCTGAAGAACATCAGCAGCACTGAGATGGAACAAAGGGGGGAAAAATACAAGGCAAATGTGTGATACACAGGAGACTAAATATCACAGAACTAGCATTTACTGGCCAGCCCCCTTGATCTTAAACTCTCACTTCGCCTGCTGCATTCTCTACAACATAAAATAACTGAAAAATCCAGCACAGAGAATAGGACCCTCCTGCAACAGCCAGAGCAAGAGCAAGAAGGCAGGTGTGGGAACCCAAGCTCTGTACATCAATACCATAATCCCAGATAGAAATGTCAGTGTGCTATTTTACCCCAAAACATCTTCCACAAATCTTAATGCCATTTTCAAGTGGACTGGCTGGCACCCAGCATGTAAGAGCTCCGTTACATTCCATGCCATTCATTCAAACTAAACTTGAAAAAAAATAACCTCACCTTTAGAGCTAATAAACTTTTGTTTATCTCGGCCCCTTCAAGCCGCGTTTGTCGGTCTGCACTTGATGTGTCTGCTCCCCTTTCATTTCCGGCCAAGTCAATTAGAGAGAATTTACCGTGGAGCTTTCCTTTCTTTCGTAAGATTATTTGGAACACGGCATGACTTCGAGAAGAGTGTGCATTGGCTGAGGTCTGACCAGACGTTCTAAAAGACAAGCGAGAAAAAAAAGTTAAATGTTTATCTGTACTGCACAATATGAACAATCTTGGACGCTATCCTATCATAGCACATGCACCATATGCATTGACTTGTGAAAGTCAATGTAAAGGCCATTTATTTTTAGTTTTTTAGACCCTTTGCCACCTTTTTTTTTTTTTAGCCTCGTGACGGGGAGATTTGCCCCTCTACTGGTCACCAAGACAGCAGTAAGAAGATATCCTAAATGTTAGACCCGGCATGAGAGCAAGAGATGGGGGAAATGGTCCAATGGGGACTAACGTTCTTGTGACAGGATGCAAATTTCCTCACTTTAGAGAGATTTTCTCTCACTTCCTGTAGTGACACCAAGAGGGGCAATCTAGGGAATGTTGAAAAGTAAATAAAAAACTGACCCAAATCCACTTTATTTTATTTTTTTAAGTGAAGCGGTTTTGGCAGCAGCAAATACAAAGACAGGCCCAGTGCTTATTTAAAGGCCCTGGAAGGTATCGAAGCATAACTTTAATTGGTCAACCCCCCACACACTGAGGGCCATCATAGGGTATGCCGAGGTACTTTACCATCAAGAGGTGGGGATTAGGACAGGGTAAGGCAAAGCTTAGGCTTGAAGTGAAGTCAAGGGCCCACGTACAGCCTAGGCCTTCGGCCCCAGAGGCTCCAAAGAGACACCGAGGCTGATTTTAAAGACTAAAACAGGTAACTTTTAGTATGCATTACAAGATGCCTATAACTTCAGCACTGTCATTACATTCAAAATATTACTAAGAGTAGTCCATTTCACAACAGACGTGAATCATACCACCCATGACTACCAATATGTGATTGGATGACAAACAGCCAATTCAAAAATGTAGCGACTCTACCAGGTGACTGCTAAGCTCCATACTACCTTGATGGGAGCATAGAAATAAATGGGGAGCTCTGCCCAAATACGTTTTATTGAAACAAGAGGGTGAGGCGCAGAAAACAGTAAGCAAAGTAAAACTGCAACAAGAACAGTTGTTTAGATGCAATTCTGAAACATGCCGGCTCAGAAAGATTAAAAAAGAAAATTGCAGCATGCTGAACTTCACCCCAACGTTCCTCTTTAGTCTGCTTTATCAGAATCCTATGTGTACTAGAAGGCTATATATGCAGAGAGGACAGCGGTTATCTATAAGCTCCTCTGCTCTCTGTGACCCAAATCTCTCATTAACACATTTAAAAAGGAAGGGAGGACAAAATCGGCAAGATCTGCTAATTTATACATTAGTACAAACAGAATAAACATTTAGAATATCCGCACCACCTTCCCACTCCATCGCTTTTAACAAAGGAAGACCTCAGAGAACATGTAACCTCCCCTAGGTGACCGTGCTTACCCAGAGTGGACTCCCGCAGCGGGAAAGCAGCATGGGTGTCTTCTTTAGGAGTAAGGTTCTATCTCAAATATAGCACATAACAGGCAACGTACCATTGCCTCTAATAGTTTGTAAGCTGGCATAATTTAGAAAAAATTTAGGGTTGCTGTGCTGGTCTTTGCACACAATATATCACATATCACATAGGGACATGTACCTGCAGCTGTTGCCAATCTCAATCAGTTTCAGGACGTCTTCCACACATTTCACCTCCCGTTCCTGCAGCCCAACGACCTGCACTTGCTGCTTGCCGTCCTCTAAAACTCGCAATTTGGTTTTCCGATTCAACAAATCGAACACCTGGAAACAGTCAAAAAGCCATGCTCATTCTGTTGGAAATACAACAGCTTATGCTAATGTAATATTGTCTTTTGAGCACTAGATGGCTGTGTTGTTCAAGTCTAGTGTATGCTAGTTTTCTATATGTATACTTATCTATGATCTATATGTTTCCTGTTTGATGCTGCATTCCTATATACATGTAATGTCCTGCTAAGCAAGTAAAAAGTAATTAAGCATTCCTCTACATCTCAGTGCTTAATCTAAGCACATAAACAACAGGTTATGGGTCCAGACACTAAACAGAATACTGCACGTAAGAGCCGCATCCAAGCAGGGCAGCACAGTGGCGTAGTGGTTAGCGCTTCTGCCTTGCAGCACTGGGGGTCCCCGGCCAGGGTCACTATCTGCAAGGAGTTTGCAGGTTCTCCCTGTGCTTGTGTGGGTTTCCTCCGGGTACACCCAAATTCCAAAGACATGCTGGTAGGTTTATTGGCTCCTGTCCATGTTGGCCCTCTATGTATGTATGCATGCGAGATAGGGACCTTAGATTGTAAGCTCCTTGAGGGTAGGGACTGATGTGAATGTGCAACTATGTAAAGTGCTACGTAATTTGTCGGTGCTATATAGATACCTGTAATAAATAAATAAGCAACTGAAAGATGGCAAGTAGTTCAGATATGGAGTTAGCATTCGCAAAGCTCAACAATACCACCTACCAACTATGGAAGTTCAAGTTTGAAATGCTGCTAAGCAAAGAGGACTTGTGGCAAGTACAGAGTACAGAAAGACCCAGCAATGGACCCACAGATAAATAGGACAAGAAGAACAGGCAAGCAAAATCAATTATAAGTCTGCAAGTGGAAAACGACCTGCTCATCCACATAAGAAAACAGAATACAGTAAAGGGTATGCGGATGTCATTAAACTTCATGAGCGTTCAAACCTAAAACAGTAAACTATATCTGCTATGCAAATTATATAATATGAGGCTAGAAAAAAGGCCAGGAAATGCGTGAGCATGTGAATGCGATGCTGGAAATTGTAAAAAAGCGAAGTGCAATTGGAGAGGAAAGTGAAGATAACCACGTGGTGCCATTACTGCTATGCACCGAGTCATACAGTGCTCTTATTAACACTCTAGAAACCAGACCTCAGCAGAAAATAACAAACATAGAATACACTAAAAGGAAAATGAATCGACCAATATGACAGAAAGAAAGACAATATGCACAATGAAGAAACCGAGAAAGCCCTTAAGGTGCATAGCGCAAAGCAAAACAAAGAAAGCAGAGGGTGTTTTTGCTGTAAAAAGACTAGTCACCTGAAAAAGGACTGTTCAATCTGGAAAGCCGAGCAGTGAAAGCGAGAGGTACCCATAAGAGAAAGAGTTAAGGCAGCCACAAAGGAAACTGCAGGCACATCATGGAGACATTAAGGAAGATCTCTACATGGAGAAACCACCAAGGTTTGAACAAGGACACAACCTTGTGTGTAAACTCCACAAGAGCATCTATGGACTCAAGCAATCTGCAAGAATGAGGAATGAGAAAGTGAATGAAATACTCATGAAAGAGGGATTCACAAGAAGCAAAGCAGATCCCTGTCTTTATTCCAGGAATCAAGACGGATGGATAAGCATCCAAATTTACACTGATGACAATATAACCTGTTTAGAACAAGAATGGGACTATAGTCAAATAGTTCACAAACTAGAACAAAAAACTTTGAGATAGGGAACATCAGTCACTATCAGGGAATTCAAATAGAGAGGGAGGAAGATGGAAGCTATCTTCTCAACCAAAGTTAGAAAATTGCAGAAACTTTGGAACAATTTCACATGCAAGAGAAATAAAAACACCTGTGGAACCAGGCTGCCAAAAGAGCTAAGAAGCAGAAAACTTGCTACCCAACAATGACACATACCACAGAACAATTGGGAAAGCTACTATACATTGCCACTGTGGCAAGACCAGACATATCGGAAGCTAGAAAAGTCGTAGCACCCTGTCAGTGCGACTGGAACACAGTAAAGAGGGTTATACAATACTTGAAAGGAACAATTCAGATGAAGCTACGACTGCCAGCAACGTCAAATCCAAAACTAATTGGATATATGGATGCTGATAGGGCCAGAGATGGCACAGACCGCAAATCCACAAGTGTTTACATCTTCCAATATGGAGAAGGAACTATAAGTTGGTCTAACCGAAAGCAAACAAGGGTTGCACTTTCCTCAACTGAAGCTGAATACATAGCAGCAGCACACGCTTATCAAGAAGTAATATGAATTTGCCAGCTTTTAATGGACAGGGGCATAGAACATTTAAAACCCCATCCCAATCTCTGAAGACAAACAGGGATGTATAAAGCTGACACAATCAGAAAGAGTCGACCCTAGAACCAAGCATATCGACGTGAAGAATCATCTGCTAAAGGGACACTCAAGAGCAAGCTATTATCGACATGCAATATTGCTCATCAGAAGAAATGACTGTGGACGCACTCACCAAGCCATTGCCAAAGGATCATCAGTTTCCTTCGAGAGAAGCTAAACGTCATATAGCAACGCATATGCTGTTGAGAAGGGGTGTTGGAAATACAACAGCTTATGCTAATGTATTATTGTTTTTTGAGCAATAGATAACACATAACCAACACATTCAACCTATTTTGCATATTGTTAACATGACCCGTTCACATGAATGTTCTCTTTGCTCACTATGTACATGTATTCTGTATAGGAGTAGAAATGCTTTTGCTTGGCTCAAGCTGTGAAGACCTGCGATCACAGAGATGGAATCAAAAGGGGCTTTATATTAATAACTGATGAACCAAGCGGGACAAAGTATTAAGACACAGTCCTAGTTCCAAGAGCTGCAGATTCAATCAAAATACAGTGAAAATGTGCATCCTTGATGTACACAGAAGCCAGAAAGCCTCTTTGGTGAAGGGAGCAAATTAGAGACCTGGTGGATTCCGTGTGAAATTTCTGGACTTGAATCAGGACATTGAGAGCTTTGAGATCAAAGATGGGGTGGATGCCCCTTTTGGGTTTGGGAGCGGGGAAACGCATTGGAGTAAAATCCTTGAAACCGTTCTAACATAAGAATTAGTGCAATGATATCTTGGTGCAGAAGACCTGAGAGGGTTTGACAGAGAACTGCTAACCTGTGTGTTGACACAGGAAAGATAGATGTAAGAAACCAAAACTTCAGTTTGTAGCCCTGGGATACCACCTCCTGCACCCAAGCATTTAGTGACTGCCATTTCTGACTTGCTTCTAAAAAAAGCTAGTTGCTTGGCTATTTCTAGTTTCAATGTTTTCAGTGTCACACTGGGACCAAGTATGAAAACCTTGTTGCCAGGTTCTGCCTTAGGTAGCTGTTTGATCTGCAACAGGATTAGAAAGAATTAAAGCGTATTTAAACCCCCCACATTTTTTTTTATATTTTGCATTTTGCCAGTCCCTAAATATGATGGCTGCATTCATATTTCTTTGTCAGGCTTTTTTCCCCCCTTTATTTTCACCTGCAGATCCAGCCAGTAACACACTTCCTATCTTAAGGTGGCTCTACTCTGAAGGAGTAACAGAGCCACCCCTGGACAGCAGGATTGTCAGCCTATGGAGAGGGTAGTGTTAGATGCACTAGCAGATTCAGATGGACATGACTAAAATTAAATCTGAACTCCAGAAAACATTTTTTTAAGCAGGTACAGCAATATTTTTTTTCCTTTTGGGATAAAGGTTTTATATCAATGAATAAAAGCTGACCATTGTGAGCACCCCTGTCAGAGATAAATGGTTTGTCTCAACACTCTGCCACTTTTGCTGGACAGCTTGGCCTTATAAAGAAAGCGGAATAATAATAGACTTACTGGCCAGACAACACAGCAAAAATAAAGAAAAAAAGGTCTAAACAAAGCAAACTAATGCAGCCACCGCATTTAAGGGTTGGTAAGCTGCAATTTATTAAATTTTTGCTCTCGAGATAAGATACACTTTAAAGCCAGAGGTAGCCTAGCAACTCTCATTTTTAAAGCAATGGTTACTCTGTATTTCTCTCATGAAGTCCTTTAATGAGGTATAAGTAAATCGATATATGGCTTATTAGCAACAGTGAAAGCTTTAACAGGTTGAACTCGATGGACTTGTGTCTTTTTTCCACCTGACTATGTAAGGCTCCCACACTTGTTACCTGTGTGAACTTTTTTCCACCTGGAGTTATTTCTATGGCAGTATGCCCAGTACATACAGGCATCAAATATATCCCCAAGATCTACCGAGAGCTTTGTGGCTACCATGGTAGAAAGTGTATGGATAATGAAAGTTCATGTGTTTTGCAATAATATACTGTTAGAGAACCTGCCTAGCAATGCATGTGCAATGGGCTAGAAGGCGGGCATAAAAGCAGAAGCAGCAATAAAAAACAAAAAACAAAAAAAAAAACAGTATATATAAAATACTATTTAAAAATCAAATATATTTAACACCCACAAAGTTCACTGAACAATGCGTCAGACTTCTACACGTACCTTACCACTGTAGATTTCAAAAAATGTAGCGAACACTTGAAGTTCTAGTTTTTTATAATTTGGTTTCTTCAGCATTTGGAATACATCTCGCGCTGGAGGGTGGAAAACAAAGTAAATTAAAGTCGGACGTGAAGATTGGCACTAGGAAATTGCACCACACATTCTCTATGTTTTATAGAAGATTCAAAAAAATCAAGAAAAACCAATATTGAAGCACAAGCAATGGGATTTAAAGCATGGTAAAAATCTGATTCACTAAAGACCTATATAAATCATTACTAAACTGGAAATAAATATGTATTAAAAAACACAGACATTCAATACAGCCTCTCATTGGCACATTTAAAGTAAACTAGAAAAAACAACAACTGCTAGGTATAAAACGTGTACATACATATTTTACTCAACACATTATACAAGAAGTTTACCTGCAAGTGCATATATTCCTTTTGAACAGTCTTGATTCTTTCCAGAAAAATCGCCCCCCATGGTCTGTAAAGGAATTGACATTTGCATAAGAGAATGGCCCCGATTCATCAAACTGCAATAGCGGTTAAAAAAAAAAACTGAACTCTGGAAGCTTTGTCCAAGAAGAACACAGGCAGAGGACTAGTCACCAGTATTGACTGTTCTCCTGACGCTGATCTTTCCCCATTACTGACTTACCTTGCTTTATTCTGCACTGGGTCTCTGTGTGTAGCCCTTATCTTGGTAGAGGTAGAGCTTTTGCTCCCCTCATGTCAGACCCTCCAGCAAGGACAACAGTAAGCAGTGCGGTGGGTAACATCACCAAATCTCACTCCAAATCTCCTGAGACTAGCAGTCACAGACAGCCGGGCCTTAGATGTCACTTTGCAAACATACAGCTAGGGGCTGTAGGCTCAACGACATACCAGGAAGTGCTCAGCTATTTGTAAGGAGGAATTCAAGACAAAATGGTAAACTTTTCAGGGCACTAGTTAGGTACAAATAACATTTCTATATATTCTCTAAAACAGGGCTTGACAAATCCCAGGCACCTGGTTGCACATGCGACTAGAAATTGCGTCCGGCCGCCTGGGCTTTTGTCAGCCCACTGTACTTCCGTTTCATCTCCCACCGCCGTCGCAATAACGCTCGTTCTCCTCCTCTCTGCAGACTCAGACAGACAGTCAGCGGGCTTTCCTCACAGGCTGTAATTTGCTACAGCGGTGTGTCAGAGGGGATACAGATCTCTGTTGCTGTGAGGAGAGATCGCCGACAGTCAGTCTGCAGCGGGGGAAAAAAAAGGCAGAGTTATTGCGGTGGCAGCAACAGCAGTGGGAGGAGAAATGGAGGTACAATTCCTCGACGCCGCAAATGCCCCCACCCGGCCACTACCATTGACCCCCCCAGCTGCCGGCAGCAATAGCCAGCCTGCTATTGGCTATTTTAAATTGCAGTAGTCAATAGCAGGCTGGCTATTGCACCCGCCACTGCCTGCTGTCAATCAACAGAGGTGGGCCTGAAGGAGAACTTTCAGTTGCAGTTTGAAATAGCCAATTACTGCCTGCTATGGAAAAGTGGGAATAATTTATTTAGGCCCACTGACATGGGATTGTGGCCGTCCCGGTGTTTTTTCTCCTGTTTCCATTAAATTTAGGTACTGTCCCTTTAAGGTGCTAACTGACAAATGTTAACTGACAAATTTTGGCGGGAAAAAGACAGTTTTCGGCGGGAAAATTCAGACTCGTGTCTCTTCTAGAAGTTTCCGGACAGTTAGCCCAGGAGCTTAGATAAAGCACGGTTGAGGAAAAAACGGTCATTCGGCTGGACTCTTCACAGCGAGCTCCCGCCCTTTAGCTATTTGTCGCTTGCTCCTTTATGTGGTATGTCACTCTTTAGAAAGAGGGGACTTCTTGTTGGATGATTTTATAATATTGCTCGAGTCATAGTGGCTGAGCAATTTTTTGCGGTTATTTTAAGTTCAAGTTACAGTTATCAGTTTGAGTTTAATAATGTTTGAGATTATTTTAATATGGTAACCAAGGGGCCGCGGCCAGTTTAAACCACAATGGGTGTTATGAGTATTATTATATTTTATTTTTCATAATATAAGTATGTTTATTAAAAGGGTACCGCCTACATTCACATGTTTACATTCAGCAGTGAGGCAGCTGTCAAGCCCTGCCCCAAAACATAGCATATCTTCTCTTTCTGAGTTCAGTTCCACTTAAAAGCACCTTAAAACATGATTAGTGCATGCTCAAGTGGTCTTCTAAGACATTTTAGCATTCCTCAGAGTGCCATTTGTTACTGAAGCTTGATCAATTTCAGCCATTGTATGCATTAATTAGCGTAATGTACAAGTCTCTGTATTAAAGCAGAAGTATATGATTTGAGTTTTTAACAGTAAATCTGCCCATGGGCAAGAATATGAAGTCATAATCAACCGCATAGTAGTTTTCCTATTTCTTAATTGAGCTTTGGCACCAAAAACAAGGAATTAGACTCTGAGCACTAGTTATGTGCTTTTCTTTTAATGTCTGTATCACAGAAAATTATATTGTAAGAGTAAAACTTACATGGGTTTTACCGCTTCCAGTTTGCCCATAAGCAAAGCAAGTGGCCATTCCCCTTTCGAAGATAGTTTCTACCAGAGGTCTTGCAGTAAACCTATTGAAAAATGAATAACAAATGTTTACAGATCTCAATATACATAATTGTGGTTGTAAGTACCAACTTCTTTTATTCAACCCATTATACTGCAATGCAAGTACTCGGATTCGAGGCCACAACAGTTACACTCCCAACTGCAAAAACTGACATCCACACATGGAGAAAATGGCTCTGCCACGGTTTTATATCCAGCATTTTAAGAGACACTAAAGTGGTAAAAGTGTAAAAAGGTATTAATATCTTAAACTTACATTCAAGTACCCTATCAACAAAAATGTATCTTATTTGTGTATCGCACAGCTGTAGAGCTTCAAATCATCTCTGAATTGGTGGACACTGTCCTTCCTTTCGGAGGGGGGCTACTTTCGTTCCCCATGGTCCCTGTGTGTGTTGTGAGGTAGCTCCAAGCTCGCTCCTGTGATGGACTACAATCTCAATACCAATTAGTAAACTAAACGTAAAGTAATTTCCCTAGATTCGCCTGATGTGTTTTCTCAGACTTCCTTGAATGCTTATGTTATGTTCTATCGGTACTGAGTCCTCTGGCTGTGGAGCGAGGTCATCTTCAATACCCCACCCACCCTTACTCTCTTCTTCATTTACTATTTTTATACAGGATTTATATAGCGCCAACAGTTTGCGCAGCGCTTTACAATATAAGGAAGACATTACAATTACAATACAATTCAAGACAAGATGGTAAGGAGGGCCCTGACCGTGAGGGCTTACAATCTAAAAGGGAGGTGCCAGTGATACATGAGGAGGTAGCTGTGTGGGGATGAAATTGCTTGAGAACATGATAGTTCAGTGGTTAGGTTGAGGTGGGATAGGCTTCCATGAAGAGATCAGTCTTTAGGGATCGCCTAAAGGCAGTAAGAGTGGGAGATAGTCGGATAGGTTGGGGTAAAGAGTTCCAGAGAGCTCCTGTTCTGGGGGGCGTGTCCTAGAACTCATGGCGGCAGGACGCACCTAAGCTGAGCTCCGGGCCTCCCCTCTCTGCAAGCTTGGACATCCCGTCCATAACTCTTCACTTGTGCGTACTCAGGGATATAGACCGGGACACATTTAAAAGACATACCGACATGAAGAAGGGCGCAGGACGCGCCGGCTCGGGCTCCGCAAAAAAGCCGAATAAGGGGGTCATTACACGCTTCCAGTCTTTGGAAGAGCAGAGGGGGCGGTTAGGATGATACTTTGAGACAAGACTGGAGATATAGCCGGGGCCAGAGTTGTGGATTTGATTTATAAGTGGTTGTTAATATTTTGAATTTTATCCTTTGGGCTATTGGCAGAGGGGGGTTGCAGACACTGAGCGGTTGGTAAACTGATAAACTGAAGGGGGGAGGAGCCTGTGTAGAGGTAAGCCAATGAGGAGGGAGTTGTAATAGTCAAGACTAGGGATAACAAGGGAGTGGATGAGTAATTTTGCGGTTTCATTGGTCAGGAAGGGGTGTATTTTGGAGCTGTTACGAAGGTGAAGGCGGCAGGATTTGGATAGTGATTGGATGTGTGGCAGAAAGGTGAGGTCCGAGTCAAGGATGATATGGCATGGGGGGAGGGTTGGATAGTTGTGTTATCAATCTGAAAGGAAAAGTTGGGGGAAGGTGCACAGGGGGGAGGAAATATCATGAGCTCGGTTTTTGAAAGGTTGCGTTTTAAGAAGGATTGCGACATCCAGACTGATATGTCAGTTAGTAAACTAGTGACACGCAAGGACACTGAGGGGGCGAGTTGTGGAGTAGAAACATATATTTGAGTGTCATCAGCATAGAGATGGTATTGGAAGGTCCACTTTGGGTTTTCTTGGTATTGGGGTGACCAGTGCATGTTTTAGAGGGGAGGGAAAGATTGAAAATGTGAGTAAGAGAGTGTAGGATAGAGCAAGAGGGCGTCTCCCAGGTGTCCATTCTTTTTTCGGTTTTGGAAGATTGTTTCTAATATGCTTAAAAGAATTAAATCGGAAATCGATGCACTATATAGTGATACATTTTATGCTGACATCTCCATTTTCCCCTTCCTTTTTTCCCCCAATGAGGATCTCTCCTACTTCCACCTTAACCTTCCATTACTGAAATTTCCTGTTCATTAAGCAATATTTCTTACTATTCTGTACTGACATTTCTATTCCTCACGTGCCTTATTTTACGTTACCTGTTGCGAGCGATTTGCGTTAATAAAGTTGGTTTGAATTATAAAATTAAAAAACATCTTGCCTTTGCTTGCACCTTTAAGCTAAACTGTTGCTTTGGCAAAGCACGGGTCTACTTTAAGCCGCGAAGGAAGGATTAAGGCTGTCATCCCTTGGGGCCTCCATATTCCTCCCCTGACATGAATCAGAAGAACCATAATTACATGCTGTACAGTTGTACAGGACTAGAGCTTTGTGTAACATATTTGCCTCAAGCAGAACAGTAACAAGCACATCTACATAACATGTGTGTGTGAAGACAAGGAAGTTTCAATCTCATAACTTCCTGCAGCTAAACCTTAATATCCTTACTAACCCTGCAGTGACTAACACAAGTGCCACAAGAGTGAGGTGTTCAGGAGAAGCTCAGCTACTCAACTCTGCTTCAATACACAAAAGTTATGCTCACCAGCAAAAACGGAAGGTTTTACTTTAGCCTTCATAGTGATTATCAGGGCTTGAAAAATCCACTCGTACGCTCGTTAGTGACGAGAGGACGGCGGAGCCCGACGAGCAGCTTCCCGGCCGGCCGATGTAATTACACGGCCAGAAGCTTTACATTCAAGCGATCGAGTGTCTCGAGACGCCCGATCGTTTGTATTACCAGCAGCTGTCACTGCCGTTGCCGTTCCCGAGATCCGCTGTGCCCAATGCGGCCGGGACCGGCACGGCTCTGTGACAGGAGATCGAAGGGCGGTCAGTACACGATCTCCCTTTGATCTACTCTCCAGTCCCGGAATGCAGGAAGTGATGTACATTACATCACTTCCTGCATTCAGTGTCACTCTCCAGCTACAGAAGCAGATCTCTGCTTCATTAGCTTCTCTGGGGGTCCCTAGGTGACATTAGGGGTCTTGGAGACCCCTGATGTCTTCATAAAGAGGACCTGTCATGTAAATTGGCTATCACATAGGGGGCTTCTTATCTCCCTATGTGATAGCAATAAAGTTATGTAAAAAAAAAAGTCATACAAAAATGAAAAAAGAAAGAAGCATTAAAGTAAAAAAGAAAAAAAACAACGATTGCGCCTATTGTGCCGCACATGTTACATCTAAAAAGGGGAGCCTTTTTCTATTGTCCCCAAGGGGACAATAGATGGGTAGGCTCCGGCAGCATCCAACTCCAAAACATAACCGGGATGGACTGAATGGGCAATGTCTCCGAGTAGCCAAGTGTGGCCATACACTGCACTGATTTAAAAGCCCAAAACAATGATCAGGTAATTGTGGGACCATATAGGGCTTCCATTGAAGGCAATACAACACGTACTACAAGCATTTGCACTCATTCAAAAAGTTTCTTCAACTTTTGAAAGAAAACTAAAATTTTGCTTTAAAAAAAATGGGATTCAGTTTTTTTGGACAGCGGTTGTTACCCAATTACTAAACTGATCATGTGATTATAGCAGGTGGACACTCCTACTTGACACTCAGGAATGAGGAAGTTACTTGAATAGTCTAAATACAGAACAAACGCAAGCAAGCAAATTGCCCAGTTACACATTAGGAAAAGGGAAGAAGTCTTAAACATGTATGCACAGCTTCTTCCTACAAACACACTGGTGCAAGAAAGGGCACAAGGTTCACCAATGTCATCCTTAGTGGAGACAACTGTCTGTACATTACAGTCTGTTACAGATTCCACTCCTGCTTGGCAGGGGAAGAGACCTGATCTTTCTCTGCTGTGGTTTTACTTTCACTTATAGGTCTTCTACCCCTTTATTCTGGGATTGCACAGTGAAAAGAGAAGTAGCACACTCATGAGAGCATCTGTCACTCTGCTCTCTTTTCCTCGGCATGATCCTTGCACTATGATAAACCAGATTGACCTATTGTGCGGCTTCCCCCTTCCCGTCTCTGAGCTCTGTTGTACAGTAGAGTGCTAGGGAAGCAACGATACTAGTATCAGTGCAGATACTGGGCATTTTCATGAGTACTTAAACTCGTGAAAATGCCCCGATACAAAGCGCCAATCCAGGCAGCCTACCTGTGACCGGCAGGGTTGGTTTACAGCGCCAAACAAAATCTCCTCCTCACTGCCCACACCCGCCGACTGACCGGGACCCGGGTGAGACTGCGCAGCCCAACCCAGAGCCCACCCCAGAGCCCGTGCAGCCGCCCGAGATTCTCTGCTGAAGACATCAAGCCAGCACCCTGGAGCAGCAGAGAGTATGTAGCTTAATATTTTTCTGCATCGATGTATAATGCATTGCTGGGATTTGTAGTCCTCTATAGCTAGTGGTTTTGTGGATTGCTGTACAATGTATCACTGGGATTTGTAGTCCCTCTACAGCTTGGAGTCAGTAACAGAACTACCAGGGGCACAGTGTTTGCAGCTGGGACCGGGCCCTGGCAATTCACCACAGTCCTAAAATCATATCAACTATTTTTTTTTCTAGAAAAAGTGTCACATGAGACACACAAAAGAAAGGTATCAGTAATTGGTATTGGCGAGTATTTGAGGAACTTGTACTCTGTGTGGATAAAATGGTATCAGTGCATCCCTACTAGAGGCCAATACCTAAACATATTTAGGTACTTTCACTGCTTGCATTTTATCCCTCTTTAAAACAATGTCAAAAACTGGTCATTCTATATGTGGTATTATTAGTGATTTATACAGAGCCAATAAGACTTATTAATCATAAGTATTATATGACTTACATACCGGTAGACCATTTCATTGGGTGTCGTTTCATCAAAGGCATAGTCAAAGCGAAAAGTTTGGTTTTCTAGATATCTTGTGAGATCCACCTTCTGTTTGGGCTCGTGCACCATTACTACATCTTTACTAGGAATTGTAATGACATCTAGGTCTTTCATTGTGTTCTCTGAAAAGCAAAAACCAACAAATGACATTATAAAAGCAACATTTCTAAAAAGATAAAAACACATTTCAATTAAATATTTTTTAAACCAATGGCAAAATGTGAATGCACAAGCAGACTGACCTCTAAAGTGTTGTATAATGTGGACAGACATAGCTGTAGTTACGTGCACCTAACTGTATGCAGCACAATCACTAGGATGATTAAAACAATGAATATACAGTATGTTTGGCTCCTTCACAGATTTACAAGCAAAAATTATTGCTGCATCTATTGTAAAGCTCATCTCTGGACAAATTAATATGTCAACGGGTAGACAATTCTCTTCAGTGTGCTCATGAAGAACAGGTTGGCAGATAGTACAGCCAGTTCCTGGACCTCCTTGTAGCCTACACTCCAGTAGAGCAATAATGGCTGGTCCAAGGTCCACCCCATTCTGTAACTGAACAAGAAAGATGAGCAGAGGCACACACTTAAGTTCCATCCCACATGTGCAAAGACTTACAATAGGGATAAAATGGCAAATACATTTCTTTGCTACTGAGAGATTTAACCATCTGTTGGTAGTCACTTCATTTGCACCGCTGGCCATACACTGTGAATTTCAGCTGGTTCTTGATGAACTGGCCAAAATTTGCTCAGTAGGTGGACCTGTTGGGAGCCTTCCCCCCGCATCCTTCGATCAGAAAATTAAGAGAGCCGGTCAGAAAATGTTTGGCTGAACAGCGACAACAGTCAAGACACCAGCTGTCATCACTGTTCAGGTATTTTGACTAGAGAAGGACATCAAAGACACTAAAGCTACATGTCCCCATCTTTCCAATGCACCAACATTTCCTAATCTTGCACTACCAGATTGTGGATTGTTATCATGCCATTTGACCTCTCATCTGAGTTTCCTGATTAAGACCACCCTCGGTCCACTACCCTGTGACCACATGGGACCCGAATCACAATCTCCCTGCACTTCAGAAACTGTCGTTTGAACCCATTAAAGTCTTTCTTCTCTCTACTTTCACCCACAAGGTAGTTTTCCTTATAGCCATCACCTCAGCTACCCTGACCTGCAAGTACACTTTATGGTTTTGTCATAGAGAAAAGTTGGTGTTAAGACCCAGGTCTTGTTGCTAGCCTAAGGTGGTTTTTGCCTTTTATCTTAACCAGGATATCATTCTTCCAACCACTGGTCCAGTTATAGTTCACCAAAAGGACATGGCGCTGCATTGGTTGCATGTGGTTCGGGCTGTGAAAGTCTCTCTCTGCTACTGTTTTCCGGAAAAATCGATTCTCTTTTTGCCATCCTGGATGGGCCCCAAAAGGGTACGCCAGCTTCTCAATTCACCATCTCTAGGTGGCTTTGGCAGTCCATCATCTAAAATTATAGTCTCAATCAGATTTCACTCTTCCCTGTCAAGTTGCACACTACTAGATCTCAGAGTGCATTTCTGTTTTTTCGGCATCAACCAAGACTGCAAACTGTTCTGTTCACACATTCTCTAGGTTCTAGCAGGTGCACATTTTGGCCTTATTTGAAGACAGGTTCTAGTACAAGGTCCTTTAGATGAAGACAGTCCTCAGCTTTTATTTTTTTTGTGGGCCCACCACCTTAGATGGACTATTTTAGGACATTCCAAAGGTTAAAGACTTCTTGACCCCCTCTGGTCCCACCCCTCTGTATATTCCTCCTTCCGGTACTACTTTGGTACAAAACTGAGGCAAGCTGGTAGTAGGAGTGGTTATTCTGCTCTCTCCTATAGTTTTTTCTTTGCTAGTGTTGCATCCTCCATTAGAGGAACTATAACCCTAAGTTTAAATACTCCCCATGTCCCCCAATTGAGTCCTCTTTTTCAAGTTTTGTTTCTTTATATTCACCTTGCGATTCTGCCAGTAACACACTTCTTGCCCTAAAGTGATCGTGCTCATGCACTGAATCTATGGAGGGACACAGTTGACACTCTTGGTTTGCTCTTTAATGCGGATTACAAACACCTCCCCCTCTCCTCGTCTTCATTACATCAAGGGGCATTGCCCTGCAGTTCACAGAAAATAGCTGATAACATTATCTGATTTTCAGTTCTGTCCACAGAACATTACACAGACACAAAATCTGTGAAAGGATGAAATTATAGATATATATAGATATATATATATACACACACACACACACACACACAGGTGAAACTCGAATAATTAGAATATTGTGCAAAGTTCATTTATTTCAATATTCTAATTATTCGAGTTTCACCTGTACATACACACACTTCTCCGTACATGCTGCTATATATAAAATGTTGCTTTTTGGATTTGATATACATTAAACCGTATTAAAGTCATCAAGCAAGCTAAAAATATTCAAGGATAACATCTCTTCACAATTTCTTTTCCTGCTCAAGCAATATTGTGAGACTGTAGAGGACACATGACAATATGCTATCCAATAGCAGGGAAAAGCAGTTTGCTATCTCTTGCCTGTTTGACAAGGACAAGCAACCCAGTTAAAGAGAAACATACTGTATGTAATGTCATGTAATTTTAAAGAGACAGAAGACTTGCCAATACCAACATTAAAAGGATTTACAGTACTCCATGACTGGAAAAAATGCATACTTCAGATCAAAAACAAACCCGATATGAAAAAATACATACATTTAATTTCTATAGTACCTTCCCTCTCACTGTGGAGGGCAAATAAGTAAAATCGGCAAAGAAAATAAGTAAATCGGCAAAGAAAAAAAGAAGTTTGGTGTGCTACAATCTATTCCTTTGTTTACATCGTGTTAAGCTCACACTTGAGTTGACATAAGAAGATGTGTTCAGCAAGTTCTTGCGCTAATATTATTTAACTACCTCCCGGCCAGCCACTGTGTATACACGGCCTGCCGGGAGCTTCTTGGATGTAACTGGGCGTACTAAATAATGACCTACAATACATTTCATCTTTACTGTGTTTTTTGGAGTTAGAATATTAAGTCTCTAAGAATCAGATTCCTATTTTCATTCTTCCAGTACAGACCACAAAAGTAATTACTTATTTGTTCAACTGATGACAGATCAGTGCCAGTTCTAGGAGAATACAGAATTTGTTACACTTGATCCTCACCTTTCTTATTTAGTGGACGTTTCCTTACACAGACACATATCCTGTGCTCATCAATCTGTAAGAAATACAAGCATTATAAAAAAAAAAAAAATCTAACTTTAAAAAAATGTATTTCCCAAACAAATTTCCACAACGGTTAAATGCTTGCAAGGAATCATTTACATTTCAGGGGCCAAATATCTGCAAGCAATATGACTAGTTCTAGAAACTCGAGATAATTGGGCAGGGAAAGGGAATATTTATAGGTTGTTGGTTGCTCTTAAAATATTCATTATTTGCCATTATGAATCATACCCTGGTAAATCTGAAGGCCAACATGAACGCAGAAAGCATGCTTTTAAATAAAATCCAACAACTGCAGTTCATCTCTGAGTGACGTATGATTATTTTAAGGAATGAAGGATAGACAAGGGATAAACACTCACAAGAGATGTCTGGAGATGCTCGTTTTACTGACACTGGTTTGGAGTAGAGCTAAAGTGGATGCCCTGTGTACTTTTGTTTGCTTGGGTTGCAGAGGTTTCCCAATGGCACAAACATTTACCTGAATATGAAAACCTGTTTTTGCAAGCATCACAATGTGCCTGCAATTGTGTTGTAGTTTTTAAGACCGGTTCACTTCAAGTGAGATATATAAGCGATTAACTAACAACCCTCAGTCTCTGGCAGCATACATGATAAAGTGACACTAAACTCAGGAGGTAAATCTTAAAAATACATTCAAGTACCTAAACAGTTAACAAAACAGTATCTAATTTGTGTATCACTCGGCTGTAGATCCTCAAATCATCTCTGAATTGGTGCTGACACTGTCCTTTCTACTGGAGGGTGGCTACTTTTGTTCCCCATGGTACCTGTTTGTGTTGTAAAGTAGTCACCGCTCCAAGCTTGCGCCTGTGATGGCCTACAATCTCAGTACAAATGAGTAAACTAAACATGAGATTGTAGTCTTATCACAGGAGTGAGCTTGGAGCGGTGACTACTTTACAACATACACAGGGACCATGGGGAGCAAAAGTAGCCACCCTCCAGAAGGAAGGACAGTGTCGACATGAATTCAGAGATGATATGAGGATCTACAGCTGAGTGAAGCACAAAAAAAAAGTTACATTTGTGTGGTACCTGAATGTATTTTTAACTCCTGAGTTTAGTGTCGCGTTAAGTATGGAATATCTAAATGGGAACATTATGGCAACAGAGAGTAAGCACTATCCATCAGTCTTTTCCACCCAACATTTGGGTAGAGTATGTGCAAACTAGAACTTACAGTATCAGCTGTCGTTAAAGGTCGGTAATCCAAACTTCCTCTAAAATCTTTTATCATACACATTATTTCATAGTTTGGGTATGTGGCATCAATATCCTAAAATATGAAGAAATACAAGATCAAAAAAATGAATACCTTGAAAAGTAAGGGTTAGAGGTAAACATAAATCCGTGATGGCACAATACAATAAATCTCACGCACCTGCGCCCTCTTCTCTCTGAGCTCTTGTTGCTGTAACCGCCTCCTCTCTCTCTTCTCCTGTAACTTCTCCACTTCTTTGACACAGTTGGATTTTCTCCTGGCTTTTTGGGGAAGAGAATGAAATGTACTATGTTTACAGTGAAGCTAGACTCGGACAACCGTATCCTTTAAACATAGCGAGACAAGTTAGTTGTGAAAGATGATATACTAACATCTGGTAGCTGCTTTTCTTGCCCAGGCCCACTTTTTCATACATTGCACAGAATCTCTATAGACCCAGCCCTCCTGATGACACCATCAATGTAATCCAGTAATAAGAAGCTAGAATGGGCAGGGTATGCCTATGAAACATTTGATTGGCTTTTCAAATCTAGAGGACTTGAGGGGTACCTAGGACACATGTGTAGGAGTTCTCTGGAGCTTCTAATCAGGAATCATATGCTAAAAAGGTACATTTTATTAATATAGGTCCGCTTTAAATACACACACACAGCCTTGAAACCAGGTTATAGCTGAAAGATAGTGTTGGAATATTTCCTTTCACTTCACTGTCATGAGCTAAAGAGTCATCTTTAAAATACAGATGGGAAAACACCCAGTCTCATAGCAGAGGGGAAGGGGGGACCCTAACAGGTAGGGGTGCTGCAGTATTACAGCATGTGGGGCACTACTGGTACCATTCCTCCAAACATGCAGCAAAGAAGTTTTTGGTGTGCATCTAGTCATTTGAAACAATATACCCTTTAGGACTGCGCATTTAGGAGCAGTATTCAGGTGCGTGGATGTGTGCAAAGCACCACGATCATGTATAAGGGGGTCTAAAAGAAGGCAGCGAGACATAACACTAACTATGGCTGTCAAGGACGAAGCCTGGGTGCAAAGACAACATGACTACCACTGACTTTCAATCATAATAAGTAGGATGGGCACAGGTGACAAATCTGAGTGTCTGGTCTAAAAGACTGGCTAGTTAGCATATTAGTGCTTGCAGTTTTAGCAGCCAAGACACATTATTTAGTTATATTTAGACAAGAAAAAAAAAACCTTCAGGCTAATTTGAGAATTCTTAAAAGGAAACCTGTATTGGGAGCCACTATTGACAATGACCTGAACATGCTACTAGTATGGCCATCTCTTGACGCAATACAAACAAGAATCCAGGCAATAAATTCTGACGTTTGTCAGACTTCAGATTTGCATATGTATTTTATATTTTAGCTCACGGATTCAAAGTGTTAATGACACTTGGTCAGCATGAAAGTCAGGTGAACAGTATATTCCGACAGAACAGTGAGCAATGGAACCTGCCCTTGTTTTTTTTTTTAAGAGGTGTTCCCACTAAAACCATAGCCAAGATGTAAACACATTGAGGGGAATTCATCAAAACTGGAGCAGACAAAAACTGGAGCAGCTGTGCACAGCAACCAATCAGCTTCTATGCTTCATTTTCAAATCTTATTTGAACAAACTGAAGAGAGAAGCCGATTGGTTATCATGCACAGTTGCTCCAGTTTTGGTAAATTCCCCCCCAGTAAGTGCTCTACTTAACAACCTTCAAGTTGCAGACTTTCAAAAACGCGATCGGAGCGTGCGTCCAAACACAGAAGTTTTGTCATGTGTCTTGCGTACATTGTCACGTGTGTCCGCTACAAATGGCTGTGCTTTTGTGTACTTTATTGTACAGTATGTAGCCTAGGCTGTCCAGACGCAAGCGTAAAAGCAGCGGTGATGTAGCTTGTACTGCTAAGAAGCACAAAGTCATAACAATGGAATCAGAAGTAGAAATAATTGAGGGACTGGAGCGAGGCGAAAAAATGGTAGACGTCGCTCATTCTCATAACATGAATCGTTCAACCATCAGCACGAGTCTAAAAGGTGCCCATACACCTTACAATTATCTGCAGATTTTCTGTGGTCAGATGGAAAAAGTGCAACAGATTGGCCCAGGTGGAGATTACTCCATCCACACAGTTTAGTGTAGATGGAGGAATCTGTTACACCTTTTCCAGCTGACCACAGAAAATCTGCAGATAAATTGTAAGGTGTATGGCCAGCTTTAAGAAGAAGATCATGGAACATGTGAAGTCTGTTGTGCCGAAGATGTCCACAATAATAAGAAGCATGGAAAAGTGATGGAGAAGATAGAGAAAACTCTCAGTGTGTGCATGCGGGATCAGCGTCGAGTCCCGCTCAGCTTAATGCCAATTCAAGAGAAAAATAAAAGCCTTTATGAAGACTTGAAGAAACATGGCGAAGATTCAGAGGGCGCCTCTTTTAATGCCCGCTATGGCTGGTTTCATCGGTTCAAGGCTAGCGCCAACCTTCACAATGTAAAAGTAAGTGGCGAGGCAGCGAGTGCCGATACGGTAGCTGCCCAGGAATTTCCTGAAACGCTTTGAGAAATTATTGATGAAGGCGAGTATCTACCTGAGCAGGTTTTTAATGTGGATGAAACAGGACTGTACTGGAAGTGGATGCCAGACCGAAGTTACATCAGTAAGGACGAAAAGCCCATGCCAGGCTATAAAGTAGCAAAGGATAGGCTAACTCTGTTTGGTGGCAATGCTTCCGGCGATATGAAGCTGAAGCCTCTTAGTTTATCATGCAGAGAACCCAAGAGCCTTTAAAAACAGAGCCAAGGGCTCCCTTCCTGTCGTGTGGAGGAGTAACCACAAAGCCTGGGTTACCCAGGCCATTTTCAAAGGCTGTTTTTTTCACCACTTTATCCTGGAGATAGAGAAATATTGCTTGGAGAAGGACACCCCAATCAACATTCTTTCGCTGCTGGACTATGCTCGGGGCCACCTCCAATTCATGGACAAATTTCATCCCAACATCAAAGTAGTGCATCTGCCACCAAATACTACCTCGCTCATAGGTGTAACACTATGGTATCTGCTCATTAATAGAAGTAGGGCCTTCCATCCAAAATGGCACAAAAGAAGCCACCAGCACTGGAGGAACAGAGTGCAGAGTCCATCTCAAGAAACATCTTCACCCTTCTCCTACATATTATGTTGTTTGTAACCTATTTGCAGGTAAACCTTTAGGCTGGGTTCACACCTGGGCGTTCCAAATAGGAGCATTTTATGCTCGCTTTTTTATGCTCATTTTTTTCAGCACCTTTCAAAAAGACCTTTTTTTGTTCACGGAAACGCGTGATCGACACACGTTTTTTAACCTCCCCGGCGGTATGATTTTATTTTTTAAACTTTATAAACTTCCCGCCGGTCCCGCCCCCCTGAGACGTGGACACTTGCAAGGGACGGAACCCGGAAGATGGCAGCAGCCAGAGGACACAGCGGGGATCGTGGACAAGGTAAGACCTACGCTGTATTCCTGAGCGTGGCTCGGGGTTACCGCTTTGTTAACCCCGAGCCACACTCGGGAATACCAATGGATACGCGCTAAAATACGCCCCAAAGAAGCTCCTGTACTATTTCGGGCGTAGGGCGTTTTTCAGCGCGACAAATTGCGCTGAAATACGCCCAGGTGTGAACCCAGCCTTAAAGTTCAACCAAGAACAGACAGCATTTAAAATAGTTAAAATCAATCAGAGTAAAAGAAACGGCCAACACACTATTTATATCAATGATGTTCAGAATCTAACTCACTCAGACATACTCATACCAGCCACAGTCACCAAGGAACCACATGGGCTGAACATGCAAGTGTGACCTACATATTAATTTTCATGCAAATTAATCTGTCAATGCAGTGATGGGTATGCGATCTGTGTTAGAATGTCACTGACAGCAGGAAACTGTGATCACATAGCTCTCAAATGAAAGAAAGGTGCAGATGCTTCATATGTTTGATCATGAGATTGCTATGTAAGATGGTAAAGAACTGAGTGCTCATGATTTCCATTTCAATACGAAGGTGCACATAGAATATGAAGCAATCCTAGACATATGTTACATACAAGGAGGGCCAAAGTCCTTTTTTCCAGGTTGATCTGGAGATATATCTGAAACACTACCATTCTGCTGTGCGGAGGCCGGTTGTTCTACTGGCTGGCTTGGCCGTGCCCGGGCTGAACTGACTGCTGTAAGGGAATAAAAAAGACACCGTTAAACTAATACAGAACAGGCAAAGATAACAGAGTTGTAATATAAGAAGGAAGGTCAAATGAAAATACGTTTTATATGCTCTATGTTTCACACACACCATTAAAAACTAGGGTGCACCGATACCGAGTATTTGACTGAATACTCAGACTCGCCCAAATGGTCCCATTGCCTAGCTCGATACCGGAACTTCCAGTATCAGGAAGCTGGGCAGGGAGTCATTGCACGCTGCCCGGCTTCCTGATTGGCCTGGGAAGCCGACTCCATGCTCCCTCATCACCAGGGAGCATAAAATTGGCTTCCCGGCCAATCAGGAAGCCGGACAAGCGTGTAATGACTCCCTGCCCAGCTTCCTGATTCGTCAGGAATCTGGCCAATCAGGAAGTCGGGCAGGGGAGTCATTACCCACCCCATGGCTTCCTGACTGGCCGGAAAGCTGGCTTCAAGCTACATCACCTGGTGACGAGGGAGCATGGAACTGACTTCCCTGCTAATCGAGAAGCCGGGTGACAAGTCATTACACGCTGTCTAGCTTCCCAGCAAATCAGGAAGCCAGGTGGCGAGTCATTAAACACTGCCAGTATCGGCCCATCCCTATTAAGAACTAAACAAAAATAAACAAAAAAAATAAAATAAACAGACACACACGAATCCAAGAACCACATTCATTTTTAAAATACATACCCAATATGCATATGCCTGCCTCAAGCACGGTAGCAGTGCAGTCCTGGGCTCACGTGCGGAGGGTCTGAGGAGGGGGAGATGTGCGGAGGGTCTGAGGAGGGGGAGATGTGCGGAGGGTCTGAGGAGGGGGAGATGTGCGGAGGGTCTGAGGAGGGGGAGATGTGCGGAGGGTCTGAGGAGGGGGAGATGTGCGGAGGGTCTGAGG